GAAGATTAAGATGGGACAGACAAATGAGTAACATAACATGATATAATGGGCATTGTAAAACCTTTTTTTTTTCTCTTTAAATGTAATCCCCATTACCACGTGAGGTAATCCAATGTACTCATGTAATGGCCTTTATCTAGCTTTAGCATCTCCAAACATGAATGAGGGAAACGCAACATGCATGGAACCCAACCAAAAGGTCCCAAAGTATTGATGTTGATTTTATGTTATAGACTTCTAGATTCAAGTTGATGACTATAAATGTTGGAGAAGTAATGTTTTAAAGTTGCAATTTCATATTGTTGCATTTCTATGCATATTTATCTTCTATGATTTTATGTTATTTGTTCCTCAAAATATCCATGATTCAATTTTTAAATGGTAGGACATTTCGTTGCTACTAAGTGGGGCTAAGTAAATTGCTGACCAACTCAATAAACTTGCTCATTTCGATTGAATTGGGCGAGTAAAAACCTACACATTTGGAAGAATATATGGGCAGGCTTGACAAACAAAAGGGCACGATAAGTTATAAGCTAGCTTGACTTGCCCATATATGTATGTACATAAATACATACATATGAATTTTTTTTGTTTTAAATTAGGTTCGTGTGGTGTATAATGTCTAGGACACTAACAACCAAACACAAAACTTAAGACCAACTAATTAGATTTACAAAGGTACCAAATAAAGATAGGATCAACCTTAACTATTTAAAAACTTCAAGAATAAATTTTAAGATAATTTAAGTAAATGGATCCCAAAATAACTTTAAGTGTGGAAAATATGAAAATTCAAGCCCTTAAAACACTTAAAATCAAAGTAAGAATAATTTAGGGAGCATGAAAAGTGTTTAAGCATTAACAAGAAGTTAAATAAGGTCAAGAATACCATTTTTGCAAAATGGAGTCAATCCACCACAGCCAAACCATGTCTTGTGGCACAAAGGCCACTCGTCATAGCTAAAAGTATCATTCGCCACGACTAGCTCGCAAAGAGCCATTCATTATGGCTAATTAGGCTTTCCAACGCGACCAACAAGCCATGGCAACAATTGTATGACAGTAATGGCAGCTCCAATTTTCAACTTTTGGGTGTCTAACCTTTAGTTCTGGTCTCTGAGTAAGGTGATCCAAATGCTCACAAACAATTAAACAAACCATGTAATGACACCAATCTCACCTCAATTTGGTATCATATGGATATTTTGGGACAGCACTAAACATGCATGTCATACTATTCCCCAATTCAACCAAGCACCACAACCCAAACTTAACCACTAACTATAACAGCCCATCAATGAATAAGCTATATGCAAGCAAAACATGCTTAACCATTTAACATGTCAAAATATCTAGACAAAAATCATTAATAATGCACTTGCATGATAGGCCTCATTAACAAAAACATCATGATGGCCAATCAATAAAAATTGCCTAAGTTTATGATGAGCTCATGCAAATGAATCATAGTATGACACACAACACCCTATTGTTGGCAAGATAAACATTCAATTACATAGACTAAACTAGAGACTTCACAAGATGAAGTTCTAGTCTCTAGTCTTTGAAACTTCCCCCTTGCCCTTAGCTTTATCACTCCTGGAAAGTATTAACAAAAAAAAGTGAAACTATATAATCTCAGTAGCCAAGCAATTTAATTAAAGTGTGGCAATCTTAAACAAGCATCACAAACACTCATATTTGGCATCTCACAAGTTAACAACAATGCATCAATAAGGTATTTCATGTAATCAAATACAATTATCTTATTCTCCTCCTTATATCTTCTGACCGAATTCATGAGTTAATAATTCATGTAAGACCACACCGTATGACTAGATTAGCCCTGCTCTCCGATTATGAGAGGTTACCTAACTAAAGGCTCCCACATCTACTCTCAAACCATGGATTCTCCAGTCAACCTGGCTATTTTCACTTCGCCAAAGCTTTCGCTAGGAATGTAGTTGTTGTCATATTTAAGGTGTTGCTTCCTTTATTCTCTTTTGTGTTTAGATATTCAATAGGACCAAGGCATAAATGAGTTAGGTTTGAGGGATATCACTGGTTTGACGGGGTCAATCCGATTTTTTTTTTTGGATTTTGTAATCTATAAATGCTATTTTCACTTCGCCAAAGCTTTCGCTAGGAATGTAGTTGTTGTCATATTTGAGGTGTTGCTTCCTTCATTCTTTTTTGTGTTTAGATATTCAATAGGACCTAGGCATAAATGAGTTAGGTTTGAGGGATATCACTGGTTTGACGGGGTCAATTCGATTTTTTTTTAGATTTTGTAATCTATAAATTAAATTCCTTAGCCATCGCTGCAAATCGCTATGGTTGAAAACTCCTATTGGGTTGCAACATCACAATGCCCAAGTGTTCTGCCGTCTACTTTCTCATGATTCTTTGTTAGGTTTTCGCATGTTTCACTGTTTACTTTTTGATTTTTCTATGTTTTGGGATTTTGCAAATCTATAAATATTGAATGAGCAAATGATTTTGAAGTATGGATTTATTGATTTTATTGTTTGATTTTAATGATTGTGACTAAAATATGAGCCCACAATTTTCAATTTTGTTGAGAGAAAGAAAGAGGACGGATGGCATTTTTTTTCCCTTAAAAAATGCTACGCCTATTTCAAAGGCATCTAGTGCCACATTGGAGGCAGTACAATTGAAAATAGTGGAGGGATCTTTAGGAACATGGGGAACTATTCTGGCAGCTATAATTGTGGGTAGTATGAATGTTGGAGGTGGTGTAGCTAGAAATGGAATGAGTTCTAATAATGATCCATTTGGTTGGTTTTGGATCCAAACAATCTGGCAGTCTTAATTCAACTAGCAAAGCAAAAGATAATGATGTAGGGGATGATGGTTTTAGGCATTTTCAAAGTGCAAACTGAGCTCAAAGATGCTTTTTCCTTTTCTTTTATTTTTAATTTTTAACATATACCAAATGACTGCCAACATGATAATATAAGTTCAAACTAACGATCAACAGAGTTTTATTTTTATGAATTGTGTTGCTTGTAACATTTTTATTTTACTTTCTCCACTTCATGTTGCAAATAAAGATAGCTTTTGATGACTAAAATGATTGGGTTGGACTAATAATCCAATACAATCTAATCCAATCACCCAACCCAATCTTGTCAAGGTTTCTCACCGGGTTGGACTTAAGGTTAAAGTAACCTAGCCAAAGGTGTATCCAAACAAAGCCTCAAGTTAGTGATTAGCTTGCCCAACTTAGTTTGTTTGCAACCCTTTTCAACTTCTCAAGTTGATTAACTCAATTACATTTGAATGGATGAGAATTTGGATTTGAAATGAGATTTAGATTAAACCAAATCCCCTCAATTTAGACCCTAATTATTTGAAATTGAAACTACTCTTGCCTCACCCCTCATCTCTTATCCTCATCTCTCCCTCAACTATCATTTTCATCTCCTCCTTCCTCCCTTATTGGTGACATCTTTGTTGATGTCCTCCGTGACCTTCCTCTTTGATTGCTACATCTTTAACTATCATCTTCTCCTCCATCTCATTTCCTAAGTATAGTATCAAACAACGAGGACCTACCTCTTGGCGATTTGGCTCGATGTTGATTTCTCCTTCTACCAACAAGATTGACAACAGTTAGATTGGAGAGCTTAATCACGACCATTCTTCCTCCTTAGTCCTTGTATAATGAGCTCGACATTAGGGGTGTTCATGAGACGGGGCGTGACCTGAACACCCCTATCCCGCATCCCATCCAAAAAAAATTGGGATTCAATTTTAATAATGTGTCCCGTCCTGTCCTAAAAGTCATCCCGTCCAATTAGGAATCAAGACGAGACCAGGACAAGATTAAGACATCTCGCTGTTCCGATAAATCAGACAATGTTGGAAAATATCTAGATAATAACATTAATTAAAATTTTAATTCATATAATTTATTAAATTTAAAATTAAAACAACACAAGTAAATAAATTACAATAATTTAAAGTCAATTATTGAATTACATTAATCACAACTATATATTATGATAGCAATTACAAATAATTTCCAGGCTATAAGAGTAGCAATAATAGAAAAGCCAAGCACAACATCAAATCATTATTGTTCTACTTTAGTTGAAATGTGCTAAACTAATTACTCTTTCGAAAATAAAAGAAGAAATACAATATGAATAAAAATTATTAAATAGATAGATATAATAATAAATTGTATTAATATAATCAATATATGATAAAGAAAGATATCGCCATATTTACTCTATGTCATTAAAATTATCAATATAAAAAACTTTAATTTTATATAAGAATTACAAATATTGAAATTATAATTGATATAATTAATATAAGTATAAATTATATTAATATAATTAATGTATATTTTAAAAATAAAAAATAATATATATAATATTCAGGACAGGATAGGACATTCCGATGGTAATTCCGTGTCCCATCCTGTCCCGAATTTCTTTCCCGTCCCCTCTCGCAAAATCCTATCTCAATTGTTTTTGAGCTAGGACGACACTTGTCCTGATATGATCAGGATGATACCAGACCAATCAAGATGGGTACAAGCCAAACACCCCTATTCGACATTGTTTTCTTTTCATTTTCTTCATCTTCACTACTTGCAAGTCTTCAAAGGTGAGGTTATCTTCTCCCTCCATCAAGTCACAAATTTTGATTTTCTAGATGGTGAGGCAATGACGAGGTTGGTAGCAATATTTTTAAAATTGAACTAGATATTAAACCAAAAAAGCTAGCAATTCATGGTTCACATGGTCCAACTTCATGGTCAAACCAGTAATGTAATAATTAAAAAAATTATATATGTTTATAATCTAAATATAAGAAATAAATATAAAATTACTACTTAATTTAAAAATAAAATCAAATATTTTCGCTCCTAATCCCATGCCAAATCCAATTCCCAATCCTTTAAAATCCAACACCTCATCCCAAACACAGCCTAAAATTTCATCACTACATTGCCGACCTCATTTCTATTGCACAAAACTTGGGAAATATAGCATTTCCCTCACTTTCATTACCATAAGAGGTTCAGTTTGACATAGGAGATATCTACCGTTTGAACAAACAGGGATACTATACACATATTGAACCAGCTGGTACTTGCAACTGAGTTGTGGCGGTACAAACTGTCATTATAGAACCAGTACACATGGAAGTAGTATTTGCAACGGATGAATTAAAAAAAGACAAAAAGTAAAAGGAAACTGCCTAGTTCATCGGAAGCCTAATTGCACATTGTGGGGACCAAAAACACAAATATCTGGAGAATGGTAAAACCATGCTGAGGAGCTGCCAAAATCCTTTACTCCTGCCAAGGAATGATTGGAGAGTGCAAATAAATTCGAGAGCTACTATAAACCTACTACACTAGGATGTAGGTTCTCAACCATAGATATATTCTGCCCAGAAAAATTGATAAAAGAAAACAATCAAAATTGAACGGGTATTACTCTCCCAAAACAAAATCCAGACAGACAATTAGAGGTACACTATTCTTCCATCTTAAGAAATAACTATAAAAGTATTGAACCAGTCCAAAGATCCAATTTTTTTAGGGTTTTGGGTTTTAGATACAGGATTACAATGGATGGCCCGACTGACAAACTACCATCAAGAATGAAGAGAAACCAAATCAAACAAGTAAAGATATCACTGAAACATGACAAAGGTGTGAAACTTAAACCTATTACGGTTTGATGATCTAGAATAAAAAAATAAGTAATAATATGAATAACAATGATAAATTATTAATTTATTAATAGCAGTAATGATACTAATAATTAGATAAATGAAGAGAGAGAAAAACCCAAAAACAATATATAGACTTGAAGGATACAATAACGGAAATACCTGTTTCACCCTGGAGAATTTGGCCAAAAATTAAGCGCAAGGTCATTACAGGTCATTTTGCCTTCAGCTTTGCCTTGACTTTTCTCAACTCCTCACCTTGTCGCTGCAAAAATTTTCAAATAAAAAAAATTTAGAGGACAATGTACGTTAAAAGAAAAACACCAAACAGACTTGAATTGTATATACCTGGAACAGTTTTTTCCATGCATAATCAGTTCTTTCTTCCAGCAGGCACCAATCCATAGCCATATCATATTCAACATTATTGGACTGAGAACAATGTGAAGTAGAGACAGCATCTTTCTGTACAAACAAAAACAAAAGAAAGGCAAGCAAATAAGAACGGAACACCTCTATAGAAGACATCACTTTCGAAGATTCATCCAAGAATGTGAACAAGACGCATAAGAATTATACCATCTCACGTTGCATTTGCATCCGAAGTTGATCAATAACAATATGGCCATAAAATTTTGGCCTTTTTTCTGGGAAGCAAGGCTTTCCTGCGGACCCAACAAGGGGACTGCCAAGTAACCAAATAAGATCTCAGCGGGTCAATGTAAAAGGGTAAATAGCAAGATTTAAGCTGCGATGAGGATTAGACAGTAGAGAATCCAACCATTTTTTTCCCTTTTTTGAGAGGTGAATTCAACAAAGGAACCTCGGTATTTAGAAAACCAATGCCACAGAAAGAACGTGGGAGAATTGGGCGTATTATTCATCGTATGCTAGAGCACAGGAGTCTAACAGATTAACTACTATAAGAATAACTTGAGTCTCTAACTGCTACAACTGCCTCACTACCCTCAAATGCCCCTACAAATATACTCTGGTCCAACACTCGGTTTGTCTCTAAAATATACAAATAAAATGAGATACATGTTTTGTAAGCACATCTGCTTTCTGGTCCTTAGCTGAAATATGAACTACAACCAGTTGCTTCCTCTGCACCTTTTCTTTGACAAAATGAATGTCCAAATCTACATGGTTGGTTCTTGCATCTAGAATAGGATCTGAAGTTAATAGGACTGCATTCTGGTGGTCAAAGTAGAAAACTTGATCAAATCCAATAACATTCCAAGTTGTGACAAAAGAATCTGTATCCAAGATAATTCAGCAACATGAGCTAAGGTGCAATAGTCAGTCTCTAGAAAATCTAGAAACACAGTCTGTTTCTTTGAATACCAAGCTATAGGATTATCACTGAAACACCCTACCTCCAAAAGTAGAATGCCTATCATCAATATCATATCCCCAATGTGCATCACTGTAGGTTGTCTCAGATCAGTAGGCTTTTTATGGAAATCCCATTATCTCATGTACCTAGTATTGGAGAATTCTCTCCATCACTGCCCAATGACTTTGCAAGGGCTTGCGCATTAATTGACAATCTTTATTAACCGCCACGTCATTTGGCCAGTAAAGTAATGGTTATTTATTATAGAAGGCATTCACTACATCCCTATATAACTTGGGATTCTCCACTTCACCAGTACCATAAGCAGATAGCTCGGTATCAGAAACAATAGGTGTCTTAATAGACTCTGCTTCTTCTATAATAGCCTTTTTAAGGAGATCTTGAAAATAGTGCGAGATAAGTGAATGCTGCCAAAACCAATCTTCTTCACGACTTCCTAGAAAATAATTCAGGTTTTCCAAACCTTTTCAAGCAAATGCATTATTCAAATTAGAAACCAATTAATTTGACAATGCTGGACATTAAATTTACTTCGGCTGAAATGTCATCCACATTGAGAACTCTTTTCACCTCATGATTGCAGCACATAACAAACAGCAAAGAATCACATTTCGTTGACTTGACCTGAGAGATGCAAACTAGCTGATGTATTGGTCAGTCTTTAGACATTGCCTCTGAGTGTGACGGGTTGGACAACTAGAGAGAAACTTTTAAGAAGGAAGGAGAGATAAAATCACAATAAAGAATCTTGGAAGCCTGCTTTCCTCTTATAATAAAAGTGGGCCTCCTTGGCTAGCCCGAAGGAAAGGTCTCTTTCATGGAACCCAAATTTCATTCCTAGTTTGCCACAAGTTAATTAGTGAAATTGGGGAGAAAGTTCATATTATCAAACACAAGTTGAAGCACCTGAGACAATATCCCATGGTCCAAGAGAGGAGTGAGCCAGGCAAGTAACAAAAATTACTGGTTTGGGCAACAAAGACAACATGTGATGACTGTTCAGTGGCTCGAAATCATAGGTACTTTTCATAGCCATTTCCAGTAAAGAGAATGGATGCAAGTCGTTGCACTTATGATTAGAAGTCAAGAGATACTTGAGCAACATTTGCATTGTTAGAGGGCCTCCCATGGAAACTATAGCCACAGTCTGAGCATATCCCATTTTGTGACAATAAGTGCATTGAGGGCATTTACGAGAGCCATCACATCCTCCTCCACCATGGTTAGAACTATGTGAAACGAGGCCTAAAGCATTTGAAGCTATCTCTATAGCATTCAAGTTGTTGAATGGGAGCCACACTAGATGAGAGAGAACGTCATCTAGTATAAGGAGAGATGACCCACCAAGAATTTGATCTCAAAGATGGGCTAGTGTAGGTTGAAGATTTTATAAAATTAGTACCACAAAAAGTTAGTCCCATTCTCTCTCCAAGATTTCAAAAGTGATGGGCATTGGAGATTGAAATTCTTGTCTCAAGAGACTCAATGCAGCTAACATATGTGGCTTTAGACTAACAAGGGCAGTAATTACCTCATAATATCAACTACCAGTACTGTATAACGTAGTAACCTTACTCTAGACATTAACACCCTATTTGGTTCTGGGAGAGGGCTCCCCTCCCTCCCCCTTGTTTGGATCATAAAAATTGCCCCCCTTCCAAAATGAAGGGATGAGGAGCCCCTCTTCCAACATAGGGGGGTGAGGAGGGGAAGAGCATTAGTTTGTTGTATTGTGACTAATCCATCCATATTATAATATGATAATCCAAAACTGCCCCTCCCTCGATTACATTGAGATTGCATCATGCTTGACCTGAACTACAATCATGTTCTTGTTGCATCAAAGTTCCAACCATGACCTATCGCAACATCATCACCCACATCGCTATCGCCATTCTTTCATGAATTTTGTTGAGACCAAATGATTGTTGTTTTGTCTTACCATAACCACTCCTAGAAAAATCCAAAAGCTCATTGTTAACAAGTAGGTTTGACACCTATCCACAATCATCATCTTTCGCTATTGAAAAAGTCTGAGAACTATTGTGAGTGGCTCTTAAGGAAGAATTGGACAAGGAAAAGCAATTTGGGTTTTAATGATATAGATGCCTTCTCTCTTAAACCGCATATAAACAAAGGCACACATGATTAATTAGAAGGCCCACATAATTCTTCAGAGGTAATGATAGTAGTGCTGCCAAACATAAAAGAGAATCCACTAGATTTCGTTGTATTTGAAGACATGGTTAAAACTCAAACCTAGAGCCGGTAATTTAGGTCAAGCCTGACAGGTTAGCCCAAACCTGCCAAAAAGATTTAGGGCCAAGCCAAAAAAAATATTTTTTTAATGTTCGAGCTTATTCAGGAGGCCCGAATAGGCCCAAGAAAATTCGGGCCAAGCGCAAACCTAATGGCTTGGATACCTGAATAAAAAATTTTCTTAAAAAATTTATATAAAATAAAATAAATGTTAATTAATCTATAAATTTTATGTCATTTTATACTAAAATACTATACATTTGCATGCATTACTATAGTTATTTTTTAAAAAAATTAAAAATATTTATATTTTCATATTTTCATTATATTTAATCAATAAAATACCTCAAAATAATATTTAAAACATATTTTAATATTAATTTTTATATTTCAAGACCCAATTTTTTTAAAAAAGTTGAATCCTATACATCATTTGCGTTCCAAAAAATATATTTTACATTTTTTATAAAATAAGATAATTAATTTTAAAGTAAAAAAATTAAAAGTAATTTTAAAAATAAAATTCTAAAATGTATAAATTTTCAACTCCACTACTAGATAAGTATAATAAATAGAACAATATTCTTGGATAATTATTTGGTTATCGTTCACGTCATACTTGGTTAAAAATTAAGAATAAACTATAGTAAAAACCCTTGTATGTAAAGGTTAAACATTATAAAAAGTTAAAAAAAAATTCCAAAAAAATAGTATTTTTCTCATTATTAAATGATTTTTTATATAATATAATGATTTCTATTTTTCTCATATTTGTAAAAATGGAAAGTACTGTTTACCCAAAAAATTTTAAAAACTTTGAATTAATCGAGACAATAATTTTAAGTTTGTAGTATAACCGTGATTGAATTGAAATCAACTTAATCATAATTAAAATAATATAATTTAATTAAAATATATAAAATATTTATATATGACCGTGATAAGAAAAATATTTAAACAACTAAGATATTAATTTACAAGTAAAAAAAAATTCATGAATAAATTACACATAACACAACAAAATAATAAATTATTATTTAAAAATTAAATTTGGTTCAAAAAAATAAACAAAAATATTTTTAAAAAGTTTCAGGTATTCGGGCCGGCTTGAATAAGCCCGAAACTCGAAGGTGTTAGGGTCTGGCTTCACTATATGAACTTTTTAGAAGAAGTAGGATACTATAAACCCAATCAAAATAAGCTCAGCCTAAATTGAGCCTGATCCGAATAAGCCCAGCCTGTCCAAATTATCAACTCTACTTAAACGGACAATAAGGAGAAGGGATAGGAAAAATATAACAGAGTGCAAAACCAAAAAGCACACCCGGAAACCAAAGAGACACGCTAACGGCAATGATGCAAAGTGAAAAATAGCCCTAGACATGCCATAACATGCCAGTTAAGCAAATTTGGAAAGAAAAGTTGCGACAATGCTTGGAAGCAGATGTGATGGAGATGGGTTGCTGGACTTCTGGGTTGATTAATCTAAGGGCAATAAAGTTAGGGTTTTTAGGGAAAAAATAAAGGGTTGGAATGAGGTCCAACCTTAAAAAAAAAAAAACCAAGGCTCCAATATGGAGAAAAAGAGAGTTTGGAAGAGTAATCCGTGTGTATTTTGATATAATGTTTATCTTATTCAAAATCATATGCATAAGACAAAAAATTAATGAGTAATACAACAACAACAACAAGCCTTATCCCACTAAGTGGTGTCAACTATATAGATTATATAATGCCATTGTGTTTTATCATTTATTAAGCTTTTAGAAATATTGTTAATTAAAAAGTCTCGCTTAACAACTTCCAAAAGTATTCTCTTTGACCTTCATCTACCCTTCTTGATAAGGCTTGAAGTCAACTGTTTCACTCTCCTCACAGGTACCTCCCGTGGTCTTTTGTGTACATGTCCAAACTATCTCAAACAATTTTCTACTATTTTTCCTTTAATAGGTGCAACACCAACTTTTTCCCATATTTGCTCATTTAAAATTTTGTCTTTACATGTATATCCACATATCCATCTCGACATTCTCATTTCTGCTACTCTAACTTTATATTTTTGCTATCCCGTTAAAACCCAACATTCACTACAACAACAACAACAACAAGCCTTTATCCCATTAGGTGGGGTCGGCTACATAAATTGCAAGATGCCATTGTGTTCTATCACTTATCAAGCTTTTAGGAATATTATTAATTAAGAGATCGCGTTCAATAACTTTTAGGAGTGTTCTCTTAAGACTTCCTCTACCCTTCTTAATCGGGTTCAAAGTTAAATGTTTCACTTATCTCAATGGTGCCTCCTGTAGTCTTCTTTGTACATGCCCAAACCATCTCAACCTATTTTCTACCATTTTTTCCTCAATAGGTGCTACCCTCACTTTTTCACATATGTGCTCATTTCAAATTTTATCTTTACGTATATGTCCGCACATCCATCGTAACATTTCCATCTCTGTTACTCCAACTTTATGCTCTTGTTGTCCCGTTAGCGCCCAGCATTCACTATTATATCACATGGCCGGTCTAACAGCAGTATGATAAAACTTACCTTTAAATTTATTAGGTACCTTACGGTCACAAATAACTCCTTTAATTTTTTTCCAATTAAACCACCCAACTTGAATCCTATGTAAAATATCCCCATTGATTTCGCCATCATTTTGAATAATGGCTCCCAAATATCTAAACTTTTTCACTTGAAGTATAATTTAATCTCCCAATTTCACTTCCAAATTACTGTCGGCTAGTCTCTTATCAAATTTACAATATAAATATTTTGTTTTACTCCCACTCAGACGAAAACCTTTCGACTCTAATGTCCTCCATAACTCAAGTTTGCAATTAACCTCTTCTCTTGTCTCTACTATAAGAACTATATCAACCGCGAAGAGCATACATTTGGGAATTTTTCCTTAAATATGTTCCATCAAAACATTTAGGATCAAGTTAAACATATAAGAACTCAAAAATGATCCTTGATATAGTCCAATCTTTATAGGAAAATTCTTTGTTTGACCACTAGGCGTTCTTATAATAGTTTTTACCCCCTCATACATATCCTATATGACTTTAATATAAACAATCCGTACTCCCTTTTTTTCCAAGGCTTTTCAAAGTACTTCGCTTAGTATACGGTCATAAACTTTTTTCAAATCAATAAAAATCATGTGTAAATTTTTATTTTTACAACAATACTTTTTCATTAATCCCCTTAGTAGATAAATCGCCTCTGTAGTCGATCTACCTGACATAAAACCAAACTGATTCTCAAAAATACTTGTCTTCAATCTCAACCTATGCTCAATTTCTTTCTCCCACAATTTCATTGTGTGGCTCATAAGTTTAATCCCTCTATATTTAATACAATTTTGAATATCCCTTTTATTTTTATAAATAGGAATTAATGCACTTCTTCTCTACTCATCAAGCATTTTCTTGGACCGTAAAATCACATTAAATAACTTAGTTAACCATCTCACCCCTTCTTCATCTAAACATTTACACACTTCAATAGATATACAATCAGGTTCGTTGGCTTTATCATTTGTCATTTTCTTAAGAGCTTCCTTTATATCCTTATCACGTATTATTCGATAGAATGACAAATTTTGTTCTCTTTCATCGGTTACTAAATCCTCCAAGTTACTAGATGAACCCTTTCCATCATTGAAAAGTTTGGAAAAGTAAGTCTCCCATCTATTTTTAATTTCATCATCTGTAACTAAAATTCTTCCTTCTTCATCCTTTATACACCTTACCTGTTCTAGATCTCTTGATTTTTTTCCCTACTCTTAACAATCTTATAAATATTTCATTCTCCTTCCTTCGTCTCAAGACTCTTATAAAATTCTTCAAAAGCTTTAAAACGAGCTTCATCCACAACTCTCTTAGTTTCCTTCTTAGCCATACGGTACCTTTCCCAATTTTCCTCATTGTTACACAAATGCATGGATTTAAAACAGTTCTTCTTATGCTTGATTTTGTCCTGTACACTATTATTCCACCATCAAGACTCCTTATCTCTCAGACCAAAACCTTTTGATTTTCTCAAAACTACTTTTACAACCTCCCGTATCTTTTTAGTCATATCCTCCCACATGATGTTAGCACTTCCCTGAGATTCCCAAATAATATTACTAATCTTATAGTAGTTCGATAAAGCTTCCCTTTAAGTTTATAATAAATATATTCTGATCCTCTTAATCATAATCTATTCAAGCCTATCTCATGCGATAAATCTAATATCCTTCCTGATTCTCCATAATTATGACCACTTTGCCCTCTATTCAACCTTAATGTAGTAATCATGAAAAATTCCTCTCTATTCATCTCAAAGCCACAATTGCTTTAAAAGATATTGACACTACCATTGTTGCCAAACATGGTACTATTGGTACCAAACAACCGTTGTCAAATCCTAGATAGAGCCTATACTTGAGAACATGCCACCTTTCCACCCTACATTTCATGGAAAAGATGTTGTCCCCTCCACCTTCCTCGTCTACCATAATTAGACCATATGAAGTCCTTGTTGTATGCGCATCTTTTCCATTTACCATTGTCACTAACCGCCATCTCCATCATCGTTTGCACTCTTAGATGAGCAAATGGTAAGACAGCACTATAAATTGTCTGTTAAACACAAACGCCATCCCACCTCCACTTATATTCATCTAAATCTACTTCTACAAACTACCTCACCTCAATTTTCACAAAATGATCGAAGCAAAAAGAATTATAACAAAATCATGAAATGTATGCACCAATACAAGATATCTTAGAATATGCATAAAGATATTACAGCTATCAACTTATGATATAATATGGTTCCCCAATCAAAGTGTGGACATACCGTCCATTTGACATCAATAAACAACTCTGGCTTAATTTTCTTATGGCTTCTTCCGCTGCTTCCCTTCTTTTAAATATAACAAAAGCTTGACCTACATCATATTCAACACATCATTACTGGTCCAAAGGGATGTGGATAAAGCATTGCTATAGTGTAACATAGCTAAAGCTTGTGACCTTAGTAGGTGAATATACGGCAGATTCTTCTAAAAAAACTTCTATGAAACATAGCAAAAGATTCCAATGCTCACCAGAATGGGGGCTAGAAAATGCAGTTGCTTGGATTATCTTTGCCGTGCAATGTTCCTGAAATGCATGCCAGACTACATCCTGACATAGCACGAGGGTTCAAGCATATTAAGCAACATACTTCCTTCCCACAAAACACTAAATAGAGACAATATCACCCATGAAGAAGTACATTTAACAATGAATAATTTTGACACCCTGATGTTGGATGATTGTTTCATTAACAACCTAGATGGCTACATAGAACGAGCATTACCTCTACCTCCTGAGAAGTTAAAGAAGGATCCAAATTTTGAAGCAGCACAAGTGTTCCTTGTTCATGTGCAGATTTCATTCTTTCTTCCCAAGGCTACAAATGGTACATCGAACATTCATACATCAGTTAGACTTTTTCATAGAGCTGAAAATATGGGCCCAACCTTTTGGATTGGTTCCACCTTACCCACCAAAAAGGGTAGGTCAATTTCAAGAAGTGCAAACCATTTGAAAGTGGGTCAATTATAGCATGGAGCACTTAACCTGTGAATTGGATGGATTGGCCTACTTAACCCACAATTCTCTCTCTCTCTCTCTCTCTCTCAACTAAAATAAAAGTCTTCATTTCATCATATGTCGTAGATGGAGCTGATGACAAAAATTCAAAATCAAAAGTCACTATTTTATCTAAGCATAACTTACATAGTGGTGTTGATGAGAAATTATGAAATTGTTGCAATTAGAAGGATAATTTTATGTTTGACTTGATCTTGATGTTCAAATTTCAACTATGAAAGATTTCATATTTTATGTTTGAATGATGGAATGATACTTAAATTTAAACTATGAAGGATACTCCATGTTTAACGTTTAAGGATTTTAATGTATACATATATTATACGATTTAAATCTAGACTCTTAAACTTACATAATTTATTTTGTAAAAATTATGGTGTGTTATGTGAGTTGATCTCCACAACCCCCCTAGCCACCCTTGATAGGTTGGGTTACTAAAAAGTAGGTTGGCCCATCCTGATCCACTTTTTTACAACTCATGGTAGGCCAATCCAAACCACATTCTCAGCTCCAATTTTTCACTCAATCTCAATGAAAAGCATGAAAGATTCTAACACTCCATCCAAAACTAAGGGTCTGTTTGGTTGTTGGAAAGAAATGAAAGGGGTTGATTGGGAATAAAATTGACTAGAATAAGGTCATGGAATAATAGATATATGGGAATGATAGAGAGATGAGAGCCATGGAGTGATAGAGATGTGGGAATGGGGATTGACATGAATGAGACCATCAATCTCTATTGCTCCCTCTCTGTTACTCCATGGCTCCCCTCTCTCTATCATTCTCACCTCTATCAATCCATGGCCTTATTTTAGTCCATATTTTCCTCTATCAACCCAGTTCCATCTCTTCCAATAACCAAATGGGCACTAATAGAATAACACAAGCAAATAAAATAATATCTAAATCTGTTACAAGAGAACAGCAGCAAGATAAGACTTACAAGCCCCTTGAACCATTTGCTTTTATCCTGCCAACACATGAAAATGAAAAATAAAGTGTAATGATTCCAAACTTACTGAATGAAAGTACATAAAAAATAAGACAGGCACCAAAGTCAAGAAAATAATCTCAACAAAAACTGATAACTTAATAGTAATGCAGCAAAATCTGTATAGGCATAGACAAAAACCAGTATATCTATATCCACTGAATATATTACATAACTATTCATTACAAGAAGCACCAAGCTCATCCTCTTAGTAAAACAAGATGACAAGATATATTTCAAAACAAGGTAAGATGTAACCTCTGATTCATATAAATCTTTTACTCTCTCAAAATGTAGCCCAATTAGATAGTTATATTGTTTCAATGTTCTCTTCAATCTTTCAGGGATCACAAGGTAAAGCATTGCTTCATCGTAAAAACTTTATCTACATGTAATGGTGAATAAAGTGATGCAAGAATACAACAGCCTCAAGCTATTTCCCCTAATTTTAACATGGTATCAAAGCCTAAACCGATCTCATCATGTGTTGCTTTGGGTATGGTCTTAACACTCAGGTTGTTGAAAACTAGACCTTGGCATCAAGCCCACAGTCACACATTCTATGTCACACGTTGTGCAGCCAGCAATTCCACCTGTTCTGATCACTCCACACTGCTTGAATGGCCACAGATATCTTCACTAGCCTTCAGGTATAATGCTTTATGTTCAAGCAAAGGGAAATCTGTTGAGTAAAAAATGGATAGAAGATGGAAAGAAGAGAGGAGATAGAACGGAAAGAGACAAGAAAGAAGAGCTGAGAGAGCAGGGAGAAATGAGGGAGAGATGAAACAGAACTCAAATTTTCTATCAATCAAAAACCTATTACAAACTAACCAGAAGTACTTATACATAGCCCAATCTTCCTTCTAACTACTGTCGCAAATTGCTATTCACCTACCTTGAGAAAACAATTTGTCACTAAGAATGTTACATTTTTTGAAAATAACCTTATGACACCAAGACAGCCCCTCAAGACAGAGTTTGGATGATGAATGGAAATCATTAGGAAAAATTCCATCAATAGTGGGCCAGAATTTTACCTTTACCTACAAGCCTTGAACTTGTAGTTGAACCATATCCCATGCCTTCCACCAATACCATTAATGCATAAACAAATTAGCAAAATATCCTTAAACTGTCAAGGATGGCCCAAAAATGGCAGAAATATGCCTGAAGATGGATGGTCATGTATAAGAAGGAAATGCTAGTACAAGAGGCAATAGAAAGAATTTACCTAACACTACCAAACTAAGGCCACATCCGGCACACAGGAACTCTAGTGGATGGAAGAGGAATTGGGCCTAGAACTCAAAAATTAGCCTATTTGGCATGCATTAGTTGTGCTTCCAAAGAAGAGGAGTTCCATCAAAATCAATAGAATCGAGTTGCACCCTACACCCATGTATGTCTCCCGAAATCAATGGAAGCCAAAGCATATGACACTTCTACTTATCAATAGCTGTCGTAAGAGATCAATAAAGAGTGGCGACACTATCACTAAAGGCCTTCATCTCTGACAGTGTCACTAAAGTCCTCCATCTCCAATGCCGTCACCAGCCTGCATCACCTTCACTGATGGCAAGCAATCTTCAATCTTCGTTTCCGATCTAAGACACCATCACTATAGGCTTCTTCAAGGTGCGTAGATCAAGTTCATCTCCTTAAACTCTTCCCAGATTGTAGATCTAGTTCTACTTTGTAGAGGGTTCAATATACCTATGTTCGACAAGTCTAAAGGTAGTTATTTGGTAAAGAGCAACAATATGAACAAAATATCAATGATGGCTAACAACCATGATGTTAGGCTAAGGTTGAACGGCTGCAACCATTATGCCTCTTCTTGGATAGATTGGTTCAACGACTCCCCTCCGCCTCCTCTTCTTTTCTTTCCTTTTTCTTTTAAAAAACAATGTTTGTCTAGCCATGGTGATTTGATCTACTATGCAACCAGATTGATTGTTGTGTATGTTTTCTAGGCTTAATGGAAATTTGGATTTGATTAGTTGAGCTGGGTTGGTGAATTGATTCCATGTTGTTGCATGGTGGTTCACAATGGCTTGGAAAAAACAACTCAAAATAGGCTTTTTTTAAGGAAAAAATTGGCAAGTGTATCATGGTAATCTAATCTTATAAATATACATAACAAATAAAAGTTACATGAGACTTCCGCATCCATACCAAGCATATTTTTAAACCTCACTACCGCCACACTTCCATTTTCACTTTCACTTACTTTAAAAACTCTTCTCAAGTACCAAACAAAGAGTGAGAGTCTATTCCAAATGGGGAAAAGGGAACCTAGAAGATAATCAGGAGCAAGAAAAGCCACCTATCATGGAAGAATACATCAAGTGTCCTAAGAATTGTCAAAAATCCTCCTCCAACCCAAGTTCTAAGGAGTTAGAGTAAGCCAATCCTAAAGTATGTATGATAATGTAATTTGCATTCTATTAGTAATTTAATTTCCTAAAATAGATTATCACCTAGTTTGCAAGTCTTTATTGCAAGGTTATCTATCGAGAAAAATTCTGGAAAGCTTCTAAGAGGCCATAAAGGACCTAAAGCAAAAAAGGCTATTCAAGATGAATTAGAAGCAATAACAGCAACAACAAGCTTTATTACATTAAATGAGGTTAGTACATGTATTACAAAATGTCATTTGGCCTTATCAACAATTAACTATTATCCTATTTAACGGCATTCTTCTTTGTCACCCTCTACATCTAGGGCTATGCAAGTAGATTAGGCAAGGGTCATGTGCACACCTAATCTATTCAAAGCTCAACTCTCCTTAATAGCACTGTCAACAGCCATCTTTACACATATCCAAACAATTTTAATCAATTTTCTATCACCATTCCTTGATAAATGCCATGCTAACTTTTCTTGTATATGATCATTTCAAATATGGTCTTTTCTAATATGATCAAACATCTATCTTAACATTACTATCCAAACATCCACTACAATGTAGTATCGTTGACCTCATAGTAGCTTGGTAAAACTTCCTTTTAAGCATGGTAACCACTTCATAACCACAGATGACTTCCAATACCCATCTTGTATCTTATGCTTGACATTTGTAATATTAATCATAGATACTTAAACTTTGACCCTTGTAATATGATCTATTCTCCAATTTTTACCTCTAAATCATTTCTAACCTGCATCTTGTTAAAATTGCCACACATATGAATGTTGCTGCTCTTACTCAAGTGAAAACATTATGAATCCGATACCCATATCCATAACTCAAGTTCAAAATTAACCACTTCTTGTGACTTCTCAATTAAAACTATATCTGCAAAAAACCTTACAGTTAGAGATTCCCTTTTATATGTGCTCAATCAAAACATCTATAACTATACCAAACATGTATGGACTCAAGGATGATCCCCAACATAAGTCTATCCTTGTAAGAAAGTCCTTTATGTCATCTCTAGAGGTTCACATTTGTTGCTTCCTCATATATGTCCTTTATAATTCAAATATATGCAGCAAGAACACGTTTCTTTTCCAATGCTTTTCATAACACTTCTAATAGTATTCGATCATAAACTTTTTTCCAAGTCAATGAAAATCCCAAGTCTCTTCTTAATATGATATCACTAGGAAATCTACAATGGGGTGTAAGTGGGCATCAACATCACATGCAACTCAAATGGTAGCATTAGTAGATATCACGCAAATTTACTTAGACTCACGGCATAGATTACCAAAAAACCTTTGCTCCTACTACAAAATTTAATACCATCAAAATCTTCCTATCATTAACACCCAATTTAGATGGCCACTACACCAATCATGCATCAAGAATTTATTTCTGAATGGGTACTTGGAAAAGGAGGCATATATGGAGGTACCATCAAGATTGAGAGATCTAAGTGATTCTAACGAGCAATGCAAGCTACATAAGTCACTCTATGTCTAAGGGCTCAAACAATCACATAGAGCCTAGTTTGAGAGGTAGTGGTTATAAAACTTGGTTACCCACAATGTTAGATTGACAACATATTGTTTGTAAGACATTCACCTAAAGGCACATTATCTATGTTGATTGTATATGTTGATGACATAATACTTGTAGGTGATGATGAGTGGAACAAATAATCTAAAGAGATCCTTAGCTATTAAATTTGATGTGAAGGACAAAGGCAGCTTAAGACACTTCCTTGGAACAACAGTAGAAAGGACAAGCAAGGGAATTGCAATATCACAAAGGAAATAAACCTTGGACTTGTTGCAAGAAATGGAGATGCTAGGAGCCAAACCATCTAAGCACCTATGAAGACTACCTACAAACAAAAACTCACACATGAGGGTGCACCTATTGATATAGGACAACACCAAAGACTAGTAGGTAAGCTTATATATCTCTCTCACACTCAGCCTCACGTTAGTTTTTCCGTGAGTGTAGTAGGCCAGTTTATGAGTAAACCCCAAAAATAACACATACAGCTAGTTTATACAACTTCTAGGTGTCTAATGATGGTGCAAAGGACAGATTTGTCTTTTGAGAAGGCAGAACAAGGGAGGTTGAAATTTAAAGATGCTAAATGGGCAAGATCTATCATGGAGAAATGATCAACTACAAGGTACTGCACATTTGTGTGGGGAAATTGATATGCTTAAATTTTGCAGGTAAAATACCCACATGTAGACCCTAAAATGAAAGAAAACATGATTAAATTAGGCTCTTTTTGCTAGAACTTTCACTTGTGGTCATCCTTTAGCTTTGCAAGCTTATGGAAACTCATTCATTTAGGAAAAGAGCAAAGAAAAAGCATTATAGACATAACTGTCCACGGATATGCAGCAAAGAAACACAGTTATCTGCATTTAAGTTGCAAGGGGTAAGCTATACGGATAACCAGCGCCAACCAAAGAAAGGAAAGTCTTAAGTGACACCAGCCATCAACCAAAAGGATGAGAGGACAAGTCGAATCCAGCACCAACTATGAGTTTCATCAAGGGGAGTTTTCAAAAACATATCTTCAATGCATAAGGAAGAATAAGAGTGTTTGTTCTGCAAGTGAGGACGTAAAAGAACATGTGCAACTTCAATATGTGCAGAAGGCCGGAGGAGAAGGGGGCAAAGAGAGTTTTTAAGGCAAGAAGAGAGAGAGAGAGAGAGAGAGAACAAACAAATCTAGCGATGTTTTGAAAAGAAAAAGGGGGAAGGATAGAAAAGGAAAAAAAAATAACTCTAGATTTAAGAATGATAAGCAAATACCAAATGCTGAGTATTATAAATTAGGAGGCTCTTAGAGTTACTCTAAAGGCATCCCAGCACTACTTAGAGTACCTTAAAAATTCTGTAACATATTTGGAGCCCAAGGGAGCATCCTAAAGGCTAAGAGTGAAATTATTACGAAGTGTTTTAGGCTAAATTCTTTCCTCTCCTTTATTCTTTAATTTCTTCTAATTTGTCATTCATGATTGGGGACCTCAAAATTGTCTTATTTGCTATTTTCGTAATTACATGTATATAAATTTCCTAATTGGGGGTCAGAATGTAGCTCAATTGGAAAACTATTTTCTACTACTTGTTTTGACTCTGAAATTTTTATCTAAGAATATATTTTCAATTATAGTTATCTCTCGTGCGCTTTATAGGAAATTGTGCCTAATCAACATAATATCTGATCTATAGGTGAGTTTAATGGACTAAGAGGTGAAAAATGAGCTCAAATTTAGAGAAATAAACACAAAAGACTAGGCTAGAGATAGTTCAAAGAATTTGCGGTGACTATTGCTTTGTGGTTTAATTAGTTGTTTGGGTATTGTGGGTACAAATTCAACATTAATTAAAAAGGGATAAAGAATTTGAAAGAATATTAAAACATTTAGGAATAGTTGTCACTATAATTGATTAAAGAGTCAAGTCAAAAGGTTAGAATGAATCTAATATATAGAGAATAAAAGAAATAAAGAATGAATAGTTTTAGTTAGACAATTAGGATTGATTAGATACAAATTAAAGGAGCCCATATAAGGGATCCTTAGGAGAATCAAATGCTATGCCTAATGTTTAAACCCTAGAAATATATTCTATTTCTCTCTATCTTTGTTTCCCTTTTCACTCTTCTCTCGTCTCTTATCTTTCTTTTCTATTTCCCCTCAATTTTCTACTCTTCCTCTCTTCTTCTCTTTCTACCATGTCAATGGTATCCAAAGCCCTCCTTCTTACCTTTTAGCTTGCAACACATTCCTAGGATGTGCTTAAACAAATGTCAAAGCAGAATGATGAGTGCTTTTGCACCTTGGAAACCCAAATGCAACCCCTAACAACACAAGTTGCCAACTTGTTCATTCTATGGATGACTCATGCAACAATGGCGGCTCAACCTCTAATGGCAGGGGTGACCATCACAGACCAAGACCAGACCAGCATGACTATCACCCTAGCAAAAGATTACCAAGTCCAATCCTATCTTAAGGGCTTAAGGTAGCAGTATGCCAGGCTTGTTCGGCTTTTAAAGCCCACTAGATTACAAAGCGTTAGAAGCCTTACTCATTTGCAAGAAATTCATGCTCAGAAGTCAGGCAAAGAGTTTAATGCGCTCAATGAGCGCAAGGGGGAAAAATCACCCTAGTTCAGCCTTCTCGACTCTTCTCCTAGTATGTCACACTTATAGACAAAGGAAAGGGAGGCGAAAACAACTGGATGTAATGGGTCTCATTTGGTTAAGGGTAAGCTTGATCTTTCGCTTAAATATCACTCTTTTTCATCAGCAAACAGATCTGCTTCCTCTGTTTTGCCAACAATGGGATCATCTTCTTCAAAACATAACTCGAAAGTTATAAAAAAGTCAAGTCAAGAAGTGGTTGATAAGCTTCGAATTAAGAATCTTTGTTTCTGTCACAAGCCATTCTTCAAAGGCCATAGATGTTCGCAAAATCAAAAAGTACAAATACAACTCATTGAACTTCTCCTGAATTTAAAGATCTGGTTCCAACTAACACTGCACAAAGGATCAGAGTTCATAGAAGTCCAAGAGATGGCAAGGGGTATTTTAGATAAAGGGATGGCTAGGTTATACATTTTCTTTGCATCTAGTCCTTAAGGTCAAGGGTTTTTTAAGCGAGGGTATTGATGTGTAGAGAATAAAAGAAATAAAGAATGAATAGTTCTAGTTAGTTAGTTAGGTAGTTGGGATTTGTTACATACTTAATAAAGGAGCCTATATAAGGGATCCTTAGGAGAACCCTATAAATATATTCCAGTTTCTCTCTATCTCTGTTTCCCTTTTTTCTCCTCTCATCTCTTATCGTTCTTTTTTTATTTCCCCTCTATTTTCTACTCTACTTCTCTCTTCTTCTCTTTCTATCCTATCAGAATCCTAAACCCTAACACTTCTAGTGATAGGAAAACCTTCATCTTATTATTAGAGTTTCTTTTTATTTGTTATTCTCTTAATTCTTAACTCAAGTATTGTCTGCCAATTTTCATTCTTTTCTAATCGAAATTAATTGAAATGATGAAATTTATCACCTCCCAATGAGTTCAACATCTCAAATATTCCAAGTTATTTTATTACTACAATCAACCATGCCCACTTGCAGGACTGAGCCAATCAAGTTTTAGTCTTCTCACTTTTAGAAGTAAAATGCAACTAGTGGTGGCAAATAATGCAAACGCTGACTATCGTTCATTGCCAATTAGGATTTGTGCCAGAATGTGAACTATAACGCTCCCACCTAAATTGAAGAGGGAGGTGCAATCCTTGTTAAATTTGGCGTGATAATTTGGCAACTATAGGAGTTGCTAATAATCCCATACACCATTATAGGACCAAAAATGTTGAGATAAACAAACACTTCAATAAAGATAAAGTCAGGTAAAATAAAGTTGGAACATATCTCTAAAAGGATGCAAGTGGCAAATCTACTCACAAATCATCACTTAAGAGGCAAATTTGAGAACCTAAGGTGCAAGTTGGGGATGATCAACATATTATCACCAACTTAAGGAGAAGTGTTCGAGGAAATATGAAGACTTTTTTAATAATATCTTGTATTAGCATATTTTATTTATTTTATGCTTATCTAGGATCTAGTATGTTATTACCCTGCTTAGATATTTTTTACTCAACCTATGATCAATAAATAATCCCACATTTATTGAGATAGCTAAGGCAAAACTAGTCTTATTTAACCTAAATATATCAAACCAAAGCAGATAATGAGAATCGTCTTCTAAAATTGCTTAATGGGCTAACACATTTTACTCTTAGACTCATGTCAAATGATACTAAATTTTCTACATAGCATATAAAATTAATACATTTTAACAAGGAAGTCAATGAATTATACCAAATCAACTAAATGATTGATGAAAAAAATCCTCCACAAATAAAATTTCATCAATTTTTATGTTTCAAGGTCAACTAACTCAATAGGCTACATAAGCCAGCCAACATAAAAATTTCACTAGGCCATCTTTTGCCCAAAATAGTAGGTCAACACTATTTTTGTTTAAGATCATTATTTCAAATGTCTAGTTGGGCTAATAGCTAACCATATAGGCTGAATTTAGCTGGTTTGTTCTATCTTGAACAATTGAGAGAGTGTACGGAAGTAGCAAGATATAGTATAAGAATAAGAACTACATAAAGTGAGGGCCCTTGCAATAAAACTTACAGCATCAGGTCTTTGAGTAACTTCACATTCACAAGAATCTATCTTTTGCTCCCCATTTGGAGATCTTGTAGAAGATTCCTTATGCAACTTGTTATGAGAGAGTTTTGTTGGCTTATTGTCAAGCTTCAACCTCTTGGAAGGGATTCCCTCTCCATCACTAGAATCTTTCTCCCGTCGAAGTTTGTGTTTGTCCTTTGATGAGATTAAATTTGGAACTAAAGTCTCTATGTCGTTATCATCATCATCATGAACGAGTCTCCTACATTGCATGCCATCACCTTGCTTCACATTCATGTTTCTTTTAGAATCGCCAAGCTTTGTCTTCTTACCATGCTTGTCCTCCACCAATCCATTGGTATCATGTGTAAAATTTCCATCCCCCTTAACATATTCTTGTCTAACAGAACCCCCAACAGCTACACGTTTTCCTCCTTCACCAATCTTAGATGTCAAGGCGATCTTCTCATCAGAGATCTGTTTTGATCTATTAGATCCTTTAGCTAACTGCCGCTCCAATCCTTCCCCCAAAGCCAGTTGTTTTTTGTCAGAAGATTTTTTCTTTGCCAAAAAGGCATCACAATCTTCATTCTTATTAGCCTTAACCATTGGAATGGACTTGTCATTAATTGTGGGTGAAAATCCAACGTTGGATTTACGTGCCTCACCGAAACCTCCATTAGAGGCAGGTTTTTCTCCCAACTTAGACTCGGTATTTTTAGTCACTAATGTTTCAACAAACTTGCCATTTTCCTCTCTAGTCATATATTGAATATTTTCTTGACTTGGAGGCACCACAACTTCATTTCTTTCCATGTCTTTCCCACTAACTTCTTTCTCCTCTATACTCAGTTCCTTTAGATCAACTGGTTTTTGACTATCTAATTTGTTAAGTAAACATTTAACTGCAACAATTAAAGAAAACAACTTCATAAGATATTCAGAATTTGAATCTACAGTGAATTACAGTAATTTTCCCATATTTTAGGTGTTCATCACTTGCTTCTTGAGAATTTTTCAGGTCACTTGCACAGCAGTTAAATTGAGTATAAAATTAAGATATTTGTAAAGGAGACAAGCCCACTTAGCGTCTACAAAATACTAATCAAAACAAAAAGATTCAAAACAGAACTAACATTTTACTTAAATTTAAAATTAAAACTAGATTTACTTGAGTCAAAAACAAGATGGATTCCTATGCATGATGACATTCACAGGCATCTAACAATAAAGTAATAATAGAAAGGATTGAGTTTATATATTGATATAAATTTTGATTGATTTCACAAAGTTCAAGGATCTCTCATAACCATGTCTACATAAATTAGGTGTTTAAAAATAACAGCCTAAGTTCAATTACTACATCATAGACCATCACTTAACAATCATGTAAGTTTTTTTTCCCCTAACAAAACAGCAAATTATTCAATTTCTCAAAGCACTAAGTGTAAGTATTCCCTAAGAATGTCATACCTTTCTATCACAAACAATTCCTCCAGCTCCCCTAAAATGTAAATATACAACACCACTAAACACATTTTGACCAAAATACTCTTAACTAATTAAAATAGCTATTTTTAAAACTTATCAAATTATGTAATCACATCAAATTCTTAGACTCAACAAATTCTGGTGTTACAGAATAACAAATAAATAAATATTAAAAAAATAAGCTATTCAACATGATATTTTTAAAATAAAATTAAAATTAAACAATACAATATGATAACAATAGCAGCAGTAGTAGTAACAGTGGTAATAGTAAATTTCAACAATAAAATATCTAATAACCAATATTTTACCAATATAGGTATTATTATAAACATTAAAGAATTAAAATAAATTAAATTGATAATGTTTAACAAAAAATAAATGGCATTGAAATAAAATCTTTGAAAATATTTGTAATAAGTCAAATGGGTATTAAAAAATGGTGATGATCTAATGCTTGACAACACGTAAGTCAAATCAATGCTACTAAGGGAGATCTATAAGCGTTTTCTTGATAGAGAGAAATGCCTTGTAATTAAATCATTTTTCACAAGAGAGAAGAGTAACTCTAACTGAAAATTTTACAAGAAAAACAATAAAGAGTCATAAAACAAAGCATGTAAGAGTAGTGCTATCTTATGATAGCAAGCTATGAACATTTTAAAGCATAATTGTTACCGGTAGTGCTCAAAGAAGAAAGATCAAATACCATCATATCCTGCAATCTGGTCACTGAGTTTATCTGATACTTTACGGTGCCCAACATCAAATACTCGATGGAATACATATTCAGCTCTTTGCACTTCTTCATCTAGTGGTTGTGGATTCCTACTATCCTTGGAAATGCAAATAACATTGCATTTACCAACAAGAGCTTCCTGGCATAATATATAGAACGAGTGAATGCATAGCCAATCCAATTTAGGTAATACAATTCCAGACAGATTCAAGAACATTGCACAGCCTAAGTTAAATAAGAATGAGGGCATTAAAATAAAATACTAATTCAAAAAAATAAAACAAAGACAAGATAATTCAAGTAATATAACACAATGGTTTTGCCCCAAAAAATATTAGATCCATTAAAGACTAGCCTAAGAAAGTAAGGAATTCTTTTTCACAGCGGCAAAAAGTCAGGAATGTCAAACTCCTGGTATTTAGATAGTAACCCTTGAACCAGAACAAAATATCACGAAATTCAACTCTTACAATTCACTTCAATATGAATATGACTTCAACACGTCAATGCTCTTGTAAAAGAAAACGCACACATCTCATGCATGTCATTCAAATCATTTACTGTTAAGAATGGAAAGAAATATCAAACAAGAAATCCTTAAAACCGAAACAATAAAAGGACGTTCATGGCAGTGATGGCACTATTTCAATCAAATCGACAAACAAGGGAGGGGAGGAAAATAATTAGACAAGGTTAGCCCATTGTAAGCATAACCATATATCCAAGCAGATTGCAGAAACCTAAATATAACATTATACACACAACAGGCAATAAAATATAAAATATAGTTATTGAGAGAATTTAAAGCTGCAATTACCAAAGGATTGATATTTACTAGGCCTAAGCCTTCCCCAGAAGCTAAGAACAATTCATTGTTGCGTGTCTCATTAGTTGGCAAAAAATTAAGAATCTCACAGGGACGGAAAAACCAAAGAATCTTCACTTTCTTGTTCTTGTCAGAGGTCTCCCAAATCTTTATGAGTTTACCAATATAAGGCTCTTCTTCACCTTCTTTGTAAACATATACTGAATCAAAAAGGCTATACTCCACACCATCATAAGTGAAAGATTCATAAAATATCACAGCTTTATTTCTTCCACCTCTTGCTTTCATTTTGCCCCACTTGAATTCAATATTCTCTTCTTTGTCATCTACTGTCATGTTCTGACTCCAAGATTCCTCCAACCTAGTTTATAAAATTGTCTGAAAACAAAGAGTTACATATTCATGAAGGAAAAGTCAATAATTATCTTAGGGGCCAAAAAAAAAAAAAGGTTCAATGTCTATGTCTAATACATGCAAATGTGAACATACTTCAAAATTGCAAATAAAGATTCTCCACGAATCCCAAACACTACATACAAGTAGCATAAAATTATAGATTTCCCACCGCCAAACCATAGCTCATTTTTTATTTGCATATGTGCATATAGAGAAAGATATTCAGTTTGCAAAATCACACACAAAATTTAGTCTCATTGAAGCACACAAGGACCTTGTATTAGTAAGAAAATTGGAATGTCAACCACGTGAAACAAAGGCAACAAATGAATTTCCTATTGAAGGATCTGACATAAGTGACTAGGCAATAGGATAGTCTTCACATCACTGAATTAGAAGAAAGCGATACTTTATATTCAACATGAATAAGGTAGATCCATCAGTCACAAAACCAGAAAACAGGACAAACATGACCAAAATGCAACTGATTATGTTGACAACTAGATAATAATCTACACGTGTACTTGTCTCAGCTTCTTGTTAAAGGTATAATGAAAACGATTCCTTTTCCAGGCCTGTTATATGTATGTGTCTTTTGCCTTCCAAAAACCAATTTTAGAGGGCCAGACAAAGCCTGTCAGCAACAAGCTAAGGGCTTCAAAATGTTTACATATGCCAATCATATATAGCCATATATAGCAGCACAGTAACAATGAAGCATCCCTCTGATAAATATGATGCGCTTAAAACAAATATTTTAAAGAGCAAATTGATGTTTTAGAAACCAGACTCTTTTTAAAAATAAAAATAAATCTCAAAACAAGATAATAATAGATCAAGCACTTAAATCAAACAATACACCGTGTTTAACAACGATCTTAATCCATCATCTACTAATTCACTAACTCTCATCACTATAAGCGCTCTGGGTTCAACATGGTAGTTCTAGAGAAGAAAGCACAGCAATACGTGGTAGTAAAGGCGGACTTATATTACACTCGGTCCCACTGAAATCTTTGACATGTGCGTAGTTGATACCATAACCTTTTAATTTTTGTTCCAGATATTTTGACGAAGATGCCTTAGTAAGCCAATTGATTCGGGCAACTCCTTCAAGCCACTGAAGAATAACAATGATAACACCAACGATTTATGATCTTCCAATTAATTAAAATGAAAAATTTAAAAGAAAGCAAGAAACTGTGCGACAGCGTGCTATGCAGGATTGACAGTGAACAGATGACACGGTGAACAAATTCAAATATAGATTCAAAACCAGACTGAACAAATCAATCTCCCCAGAGTTTGGGAGAAGACAAAATCCTAGGGTTCGTACCTTCTTCAATGCTTGTCGGAAAACAACCACGCAGGGCTGACAAGTGACAACGGTAGACAGCGTCCCACGGCCAGCTCGACCAAGCGTGAATGCCCAGCGGAGAATGAATCTGCCACTCCTACCCGACAAGACGAGGGTGTGTTTTGATGGGGGAGGGTTTTCAACTTTTGATCCCATAAATATTACTCGTTCGAATTTAATTTTAATCAATCTAATTTCTTAACAGTGCATGTAAATATAATTAAATAAAAATAGTCTAGCTTTCATTAGTCATCTGATTTTTTTATTAAGAGAAAATTAGATGATTTTATGAAAGTGTGTTTGGCTTACCGTACAATTTTTGGCTCAAGTTTACCTTAAGCATCTAGAAGGATGAAGTTAAATTGTTTGGGTTAATTGAAAAAAAAAAAAAGACTTTGTTTGAATTAAAATTTAACTTCTGTACAAATCCAATAGAAAATTAATGGGAGGAGTCTACATTTTGGGTGGAAATTGAAGAAATTTAGAAGGAAATTGCACATTAGAAAAGAAAACATGGAATCTTGAAAAGAGCTACCTTATCTGCCTGTAAAATAGAAAGCGAGGCACCTATATGGGGCTTTCCAATTCAAATCACTTTTAACATATTAATCAACACTCAAATCACTTTAACATATTAATCAACACTTAGACACAGACTTTCCTCAATAGCATTAAATGCAATTCATCTAGATCAATACAAATACATAACACTGAGTAGTGTGTCCCTTACATCCAATAAAGTAACATCACTTGGTAGAATAAGCATACCTGCAAACAAACATGCACAACGCATATCTTATCTGCAGCCGAACATCAATAGAACCTAATTTTCTCCCTAAAACCACTATTCTAATCCTCCAGTCCATCCCAAAGCAATCCCATACCATTCTACGTCCCCAAATACATCCTCAAATTGTTACAACTAACTTATTGTGCTTTAGCCGATTGTGATTCAAAATCACGAATCTTGTTTGATTGAATTGTGGGTGATGCAGGAGGGTATAAATGTAGCCAGGGAGAAGACATGAAGTTGGATTAAAAATATACTAACTGCCATTGTTCGTGATTGTTACATCCAATGACTATTTGGAAAAATAAAATTATTTACAGAGTTGATATGTCTAGAATCATTATTGGCATTGAAGATGAAGAGAAGACTATTGAAATTAATATTTTCCTAATAAATCTCACTACTAATGAAATTAAGATGATTGCTCCTTGCAAATTTGGTCCTTACTCCCTATCAATGTATTTTCAATCATGTGAAAAGCTTTGTACAGGTTAGTAACATCCAAATTAAAAAACATCAATCCTAAATCTTAATTACTACATTGCATAATAGATTTGCTTACTCTAAGAACTTTTGGTGGTACAAATTTGTTAAGGAAGGGTCTCACGAACCCATAATAAATTTGAATAAACACATCCTAAAAAAGTTAAACAAATGTTTGATGATCTACTTGAAACCTTAAGCACCAACAAACAAGAACTCAAAATATTGTAGAAAGCCACAAAGTTAATTAAGTTTTGATAAGCCAGTTACTTCAATGAAAAACTCTAAAGAGAATTCGTTCTTGACTCTGAAAGTTAAAAACAAAAAAAAAAAAGAAATTTCATTCAAGTCTAATTACAAAATGAAAAGTACAATATATTTTAAGAGATACATTAAGAAACTGACTCCATTACTTAAAAAATATAAATAGAGAGATTCAAAATAATTAATGCGAGCCTAGAAATTCCAAAAGTCAAATGTGACAACTAAATCTAATTTTTGCTCAAATATAATTAACAAAATATAGTCAGCATTCTAAGCTCAAAACAACATTATTAAGACCCTTTCACAAAAAAAAAATTATCAAGACCCAAATGAATATTTTCATGTATAATATTTGCTCCTAGCCTTTTATTTTGGAATCTTCAAGTCTGATATGTTTTCAAGAGTTCAATTTTTTCCCAAATCATATTAATGATGTTTTTAGCATTTTTGTTCAAATTTTAAATATATATTAAAAGTATTTTTTTAAAAAAACCTTTTTAATTATTCTTAAATATATCAAAATATGGTTAGATTTCTACTCACCTATACTTATATAACCTATCAAATACTGTCATAACTTTTTTTCTATGGGCACCTGGTATTTGAAGTCCTTCCACCTTGAATAATCCAAATCGATCCATGCCAAATTACAAGGACGACAAGTTTTCTTAACAAGCATTTAATTTAATGTAATCACATGCCTAGAGCCCAAACTTAAAACTTCTATTCAAGTTAAAATCATTGCTAACCAATTGACTTGGTCAAATACTATCTTCACTTGACTTTTTATCTAGTGGAATAGCCAATAACAAATGTTGGAGTTAGGACCTTGTGTTAGTGAGTAATTTAAAAAATTAATAATTCTCAAAATAATTTAATAATTAGAAATTAATTATATAGATTTATTATATTATTAGAATTTGAACTGAAAAAATAAAAATTTTGAATTTAAGTTTAAAGTAATAATCAAATGAATTTAATGCTTTAAATATTAAAAGGAGTGTATACAAACTATAAAATAAAAAGGGACAATTGTGGAAAATCTAAAACTTCAAATGTACATATATAATTTTCCCAACTCACTTGTAAACGTGTTATTTACCTATGTGATTGTAATATATAAAATTGGGTAAATATGCATTTTTTCTTTTAAGATATTCTTTGAGGAGCACCTAGCATTATAAATGTAACATCCTGAATTTCTTAATTCTGAGGTTAGTGGTTAATTGAGGGTAAAGTGATAATTAGTGTGGGATTAGAGATTTGGATGATTGCTTGATGATTGTTTTGTTAGGATGTTGCATGAATAGGTATAGGTGGAAAGAGTGCGTTTTGGGTTGAAGTAAGAGTGCGTGGTGAGAATAAATCTCATTATGCCACGTGCCACGACACATAGACCAAAAATCACTTCTTAAGTCGTGAAATTTTAGAAATTTTAAAGAAGTAAAATTTAGAAACATATGAGAGAAGGAGAGAAGAAGGGCTGAGGAGCTAGGGCAAGCTATTTCAAGTCATTAAAAGATGCTTCTAATTGGTAACTTAGCGGGTAAGCTACATATAACTCTAACCTCTCATTCTACACAAATTTCTCCTAAAATAAGTTATAAGAAAATTGAATTGGTGAAATTTGAGGGGCTTGATTCTTGCCCAATAGTAATAAAAAAATTTTTGAATGTTAAATTAGAGCTTTGCAACTCGTTTTAAGCTAAATGAGAGGAATCTAATTTGAGTAAAATAAGACCGATTGAAATGATGTAAAATAGTAATCAAGTAATATTTGACCTAGAATGGATAAATGGAAAAGAGTTTACGGATAAATGTAGCCCTAAATAGTAAATATGTATTTTTAGTCAAAATGGATCAAATGACTAAAATGTGTGTTCAAATTGGCATATTGGACGTGTGAGTAGAGAAAGAAAGCTTAAGATAAGGTATAATAGAGGTTGAAATCCACGAGTAACCTTTCTAGTGACAAAAGAATTAAGGTAACCGAATAACTTTCTTTATTTAACTATTTATTGTAACTGTGTGTGAGTTTGTTATGTAATACCTGAAAGTATTTTAAACCAAGCATGTTTTATAGTACTGTGTGATTGCTGCATGAAATAACTTTTGATTAAATAAAGGCATTGAAATGGATAATTTTAAATGATATGTTTATATATATATATATATATATATGTATTATGTGTGAAAAAAACATGTAAAGTGGTAATAAGGAACCTTAAATGGTTCGAAAAGTATGATCATAGAGATGGGAGTTCACTCACGTAGAGAGGTGATGATAAGACTATATGGCATATTCTTCTTAGTGTTCGACGGGGTGTGGTGTTAGAGAAAATCTCCTTAGTGTTTATTAAGGTGCAATGTTAGAGATTTGAGACTCCTTAATGTCTATGTGATACAGTGTTAGAGTCAACGTCACATACCCCTTTGTGTGTTTGAGGGAAATTATAGTTCGGAAGTGAGATAGAACACCTTTGACTTAGTGATTCTATCACTTAAGATGAGCTTAGGACTATTGAGATGTACATTAGTCTAAGGCAAGCCTATAGTTTCATGTTAAGGTGATAGTAGTGATCATGCTATGATATGTTATGTGATACTTGTGCAAGTAAAGTGGCGAAAAGTGGTGTAAAGAGGTGAAATGTGAAATATTGATGTAACTTAAGTGAATTTATGATATATGCTATGTTATGGAGGTTTAAATGGTATATTATGCTTTACTTTCATATAGTTTTATGTGATAGTCATTAGAAGCAAGTTATTTTGTTATTGAGATTTTTATTTCACCTCCATGATTACGTGTTTACGGGATCAGGCAGTGATTAGGATAAAGAAAGAGAGTCTAGACCGGCTTGAGTTGTTAAAGCCATGTATACTCTGAGATTGTGTAATGAACTAAGAAACTTGTGTATATATGTGTAAATGAGTTGCCATAGGGTTCCATGCATGACTTGAGTAATGATTTTATGGAACCTTGGCCCAATTGTATGTTTATGTGATTAAATGAGTCAAGAGCTATGGTTTGAATGTGCTTATGTTGAAATTGTTGTGAATATTGGTGAATCTTAAGCTCAAGTAAAAAATTATGGTGAAATAAGTAATTTGTGGTTAAGATTGAGCAATACATGTATTATGAATGTGAATGTATGTGTTGGTATTGAGAAAAAGACCAAGTAGGCTAAGTTATATTAAAAAATGACAAATTGTGTAAAGTTAAAAAATGTAAAAATTAGCCATTGAGGGGTTAAATTTTAATATATATGTAGGATTGTGATTAAAGTGGTCAATAAATTGATTCAAGGCTTGTGTGATCTAATGAGAGGAAGGAATTGATTTCAGCACTTAAGTGCGCAAAATTTTTAGAAAAAGTAATTTTTTACACCTAAGGTGTTCAAAATTTAATTAAACTGCTAGATTGCATCCAAACCTATCTTATTAGCTAACTTATAAGCTAAGCTTCATGTGGGCGCTTGAATTATTTCGATCGGATGTCGTATGTGAAAATGACGTATGCCGAAAGTTCATCATTTTTGTTATCAAAATAACAGTAAAAAATCGGACAGACGCGCTGCAGCACATGGCATTACATGCCATGGCATATGACACAAAAAGTTATGCATGTGACTCTGTGCCATATGCTGCGGCTCACGTATTGCACGCTATGGCACACAAACCAATTCCTAACTTGATTTTTTGTGAATTTAATGCTTACATTAGATGAGATAAATGTCTATGATTTATTTTCGTTGCATATTCTTTGATATATCTTATGATTTTGATGATTTTGCGAAACAAGTCTTTGGCCGAAGCTTTTCAAACAAAACATTTGATTATTGTGCTGACTTGTGATAAAAGTGATTCGGTTAATCTTCTCCTATATTGAATGAATATAGGAGGAGGTTACAATAAACTATTTAATATAACATTTTTGCTCATAAAGTATTTAAAATGTAGTATTTTCTATCCCAATGTTAAATAATAAATATTGATCATTGATATGATGTAAGATAAGATAATTTGATTATAACAAACATTTGTGATTATCGTCAATATAGAGAATGTTATATTTTAATTACTTTTAAGAATGAAAATGCTACACCAAATAAATTAAGGAGTTGGGTGCTTCTCAGAGAGTATTTTTAAGGCAAAAATGTCCCTTTATCTTATAAAATTAGCACATGCTCAAATTTTTTTGTGGTTACGTTACAGTAATCAACCAACAAGCATTTTCCAAGGGTTTGGCTTCTCTCCTTTGAACCTTTGCTCCATTATCCTTCCTTTGCACCATGTCAAGATTTGGACAAGCCATATTTAAAGCCTTTTATTTTTATTATATATTTGTTTAAATAAAAATTCATAAAATTTATAAAAAAAATTAATAAATTTGTTGGATCACCAATCTAACAATTCAGATTTAATGTGGATAATCCAAGTTTAATAATAAATACATACTAACCATAATATATTTAGATAATCAATTTATTAAAATTATAAACATTTTTAATATTAAATTAAAACAGCCATATTAAATCTCTATTGTTTAGACTAGTAATGAACAAAATAATTAAATTTTTTATAATTATTATATATTTTTATTTTAATAAACATAAAATGAAAATAAAAAATTTTAAATATAGACTGTTCAAATTAAATTTGAATCGTCCAGATCTTGCCATGATTGTGCAAAGGAGGGGTAGTGAAGGGAAGCTTTTGAGGAGAGAAGCCAAGTCCACTTTTCAAATTCTCTTTGCTTTTGTCTTGTTGGTCCATTTCCTGCCTTCATGTCATCTTCTTTCTCTTTTTTAATTTAAATTTGAATCTAAATTTTCATACATCCAGATCCAATTAAAAAGAATTTTTAAGTAGATTTCGAACACAATCCAAAAATTTTGTAGCAAAGCACCTCACAAAAATTTTAATTTGATATGGCACTTGCTCTAACATTTTACAAAAAATTTAATCTACAATGAACATGGTTGAGATGCAGAAACTAGAGAGTGATATGAATCTACACAATGAATATTTTAAATAGGGTAAACATAATTTTTTATCTCCATATTTTACTCGCGTTTTACTTTTGGTCTTTATATTTTTTTTGTGATATTTTAGATTCCTACACTTTTATTTTTTATTGTTTTTAAGTCATTTCAAGGTCTTGATACTTTGGTCATAGAGGGACCAAAAAATGAAAAACAAAAGTATAGAAACCTAAAACACCGAAAAAAAATATAAGGATCAAAAGCAAAACGCGAATAAAATATAGAGGCCAAAAGTGATGTTTACTCTTTTAAATAACATAAATTAAATAAAAAGAAATATAAATGGCAAGTAAATACAAACTCCAATTAAAATTTTGGTGAGATGTCATGCTATGGTTGGTCAGTAAACACAAAACGTTCAAGTGACACGTTGGGTTTGATACAAGGTACCAAAAACCTAACCTATCAAAGCATTGATGCAAAAGATTAATTATCAAAACTGTGATTGAACTCTATCAAATCGCTCATCTTATTAAATAGATTAAGATGTTAATTTAGTGGTTGAATTGGACTGGTTTTTCCTTAGTATGGTTTGATGGATAATCCAAACCAAGGCAAAAACAAAAACAAGCATTAATGATCCAGCTGGCCACACTCTCTCCTCTCCATTGCGACTTCTAGTACTACAAGCCTACAACCACAACATCCACAACATTGGGGACACAAGTTCAGAGCGCCACATAACATAACGTTGAAGCGCAAGAATATTCTCTTCTAATATCCCATTTTCTCGCTTAATGCACTTGCTTGCATCTTCCTGTCTCTTCTCTTCTCATTCCCTACCCCATTTTTACTCTAGCTTAAGTCAACTTATGGTGAACGATTTGGACAACCCTCGAATAATTTCTGTGACAGAACAGAAGATATGTTCATTATTAACTTTCTTGACATTGTTTGTTCTTCTCCTTTTTTCTCCGAAATATCATTTTATTACCCTTTTCTACATGTGGATTTACAGTTCCTAGTTTTACGCATAATTTATTGCTCAACTTCGGTTACAAGTAAAGGGATTTTGCGTTTGTTGATGTTGGAAGTTTAAAATGTAAGGTAATTAGTTTGTTAATTACCCAGTTTGTTGGTAATGATAAATCCTACATAAAGGATTGTGTGTTGTATTGAAGTAAGGAAAGCTGTTATACTCTCTCATTTGTATTGCCCTATAATGGGTTTTGGGTTTATGGTTTCCTTCCATAGATTGTGGTTATTATTCATCAAGTTATTGTATTAAGCATCTTTGATAGTTAATTGATATTGCTTTTCATTGTTCTTGGTATTTTCTTTGCCTTCGATATTCTTAACAGTTGAACTCAGTATTTTCAATGTCGTCGTAGAATTTTTCAGTTGGATGCCAAAGAATTCACGTTCAAATCAAACCTAGATGTCTTGTCTCTCAACTTCTCCTTTGTTGGTGTTTCGCTACTGGGAGTTGGGAGAGCAGTGGAGAACTGTGAAATTATCTTTTATCTTTTCTTTCTTTTATTCCATTTATTTAACATTTTTATTCTCTTTCCATGATTTTTTTAAAGTAGGAAGACCAAGATTATTTTTTATCCTCAAAATTCTTGTTCCCGTTCCCCTTTCCATTCTATTACTTTTAATCCTTAGGAGAGGTCAAGGCACAACAAGTTACCCTTATTTTTAATGTTTAGACTGTTCATTACATTTTCAGTTATGGTCCTGAGATCTTCTGCCATGGTTCCTTTGTGTTGATTCTTTCTATGATTAATTGTTGCTTCCTTTCTTCTTCATACATGGTATGGAAAAGAATGTATCAGACGATTTTTTTTTTCCTGAAATAAGGATCAATTTCATTAAAATAAAATGAAATACATAAAAAACCCAAAAACTAGACAAGGTTTATTTGGGCTCTGAACACTTTAAGCTTTTACACAAGAAGAACATAAGGCAACCGTAAGATCAAGAATGTAACAAGCCGATGTTTGAACAACTCTCAAATAAGTAGAAATTGAAAATTCTAAAAGGACCATTGATGGTGCTGCATCAAACTTGAGCCCACTTGTTTTGTTGATCGCCTCAGCTTTAAGAAAGCTCTATTCCATTATCTGCATAATCTAACATTTAAGAAGACAGAGTGAAACGATGCATCGTTGCCCATTTCTACAAAGGTGGCAAGGAGAGGCGAATATATCAGGTGAATTGGTCCGATTGGATTATACCAACACACAGGCCTTTCCCTTGGCATGTTTGCCTGATTATCTATAATGACTTGCATATTACTCATCTGTTGTTTCTTTTTCTCTGGCCACTCTGTTACTCTCCAAATTATAGAGGAACGTCATGTTCTTGATTGTAAAACTGAATGATTTTAGCTTGGCCTGTTCCATATTAATACTTTAATTCTAAGACAAACTCAAACATTGTTTTCGGTATTTCAATCATAGGTTTCCTTTCCTAAATTTAAACCCCATTCCTAAACAGCTTTAGGGTCATACTCCCCAACATCAATCTGTTGTTTAGAAGGATATGTAGAACACTTTCCTCTCTCTCTCTCTCTCTCTCTCTGAGAATGTACAAAACTTTCAAAAGTACTCTAATCGTCTTCATGTTGCCTTATGAGACAAAATTAAAAGAACAGAAAGGGAAACAATGGGATTTGGAAGACACTTTCTTCCTGAAGTTCAGAAGGCATTGTCTAAGTAAGTTTAGCTCTACCAAAAGTTAAAATTTGCTAAAATCTAGTGAATTAACAAAATCTGCTGTGAATGCCAATAGAATGTCACAATTTTCTTATAAAGTTAAAATGACATTGATACTACTCTTACTGTCATGGGAACATGCTGATTTTGCTGACCTGCCAAGTGTTTTCTCTTATATTGCATTGTAATTTGAGCTGCCCATCCTTATTTCATTGCATGTTGTTGATGTAAGCGAACAAATAAGAAGGACGTTTTACTTGTAATGTTAACTAAATCAAATGCAAACTACATTGGAGTTAAATAAGCAAGGTTCATGGTAATTAATAGTATATTTCATAATAACTGATATGGACTTAATTCTTGCCTCAAATGATGCCTTATAAACGTTGAATTCATCATCTCCTTAATCCTTATCCATGTACATGTTAGGTGTTGCTATTGCGTCTGACTTTATTGAATAAGGTAGTATAAAGTCATCTTGACTTGGAAAATAAAATGCTTTATTCACATAACATTAAAATAACATCAAAGACTTCTGCATTATATGAGTTCTATGTAATATAGAATTGTGCTTTCACTAACAAGAATAGCTTGGTATACATATAAAGGCTAAAGAGCCTAAAATAATATGTTCGTGGAAATACTAAAAAATTCAATCTGAACAAAAGAATTTCATTGTGACAAATCCTGCAGAACATATATTAAAATAACCTAATTTGTTGGCTTGTAATGAAACACCTTTTGATCCTCTCATTTGAAGCAGGAAGATCTTTAGAATCCTTTCCAGGAAGTGATAATTTCATTGAAGATTTCAGCAATCAGATCCCTGTCTGCATATTGCACGAATTCTTTGAAATCATCACGAATGTCATATAATTTACCAAATTTCACGAGATATTTCATACAGCTCATCTTCAATTCCGGCAATTCATATAAAGATGCATTTTGGAGTCTCTCAAGTACATTTTTTGAATCTATATCTCTGAGAAGACTCTGATGGCATGCCTCTTTCAAGTCAGATACATCATACTTATCAGCTGCATGCAGAAGGACTTGCCGATGTGTCAGAAATTCTTCATGCTTGATGATCCCATAAAGATAATTGAGAAAGGCTTGGCAATCTTCAACTGACATGTCTGGGATGTCTATGGCAGATAGCTCTTTCTCCTTAAGATTGTATGAGAACATACTGCTGAAGACAGGTGATCTAGCGGCAAGAACAGCACGATGGCCCTGGATGCTTCCATCTGAAGCATTTATCATGATGTCTGTGTGGATGTGTTCTGCTAGCATTCGACCTAGTGATTGAAGGGCTGCTGCATTTGAGGTTTTCTGCATAATATCATCATCCCAGATGGAGCAAGGTTCATCCTGTTTCAAGACACATGAATAGTACACAAGGTATTAACAAGAGATTACATGCATCTTTCTTTTCCTTTTGGGGGAAAAACTTTTGTTCACCTTCGTCTTCAATTTCTATTATTTTCTTTTTTGAAAAAGATGTTCTCTCTTTTTCTAATAAACCTTTCTTAGAAAACTGTTACTGCTATGATTATGCTACGTCATTGCTGGTGGGTTTAATTAAGTGGCGATGATTATAATATTTATTGTTGCTAGATTGTTGCATTCCACTTCTGTTGGGATAATTATCATTTGCAAAGGAAACTAAATTGCAAATTAAAAGAATAAGATTTGTGGACCTTGGGGGACGCCGTCTTTAAATCCAGGAACTCAACGTCAATAATGAACTTTCCAGTTAGTGGGACCTCAATTGCCCAAACATAGTCTTCACTGGGCTTAATCAGTTTGTCTTTTATTTCTGCATCACAAGTTATTTCTAAATAAGCAAATGCTGAATTAAATGCTGGAAACCAGAACCTTCTACTGGGAAGATGCAAGAAGGAGTGAAATAAGGGATTTCCCAAATTCTGTTTTCTAGTCAATACTTTTTATCCTTTAGAAAAGTACAGCAACATCTAAAGCACCCGGAAGATGCAAGAAGGAGTGAAATAAGGGATTTCCCAAATTCTGTTTTCTAGTCAATACTTTTTATCCTTTAGAAAAGTACAGCAACATCTAAAGCACCCGGATTAGAAGATACATGAATACTACTATCAACTAAGTATTTTACTATTTTTATCCCTTAAATTTGTTTCTGGTTATAATCTGGTCTTAAGCTGGTTTCAAGCAAATTGGCTCCTAACATATCATATTTATTTTGATCTATCATCTTCATTAATAGACATATTTGACTGACATCAATGATCTAGTTATCCAACTATCCAGTAATCTACTGAATAGAGCTAAATATTGCAAGTAAGTTATGTTGTATTGGCACAAAACTGTAAGAAGATCATCCAATGACAGTTTGATTACCTGAATGAGTCAGGGCCTTGCGATCTCCCGAAGAACTAACAACCCTTAAGATTAGAGATACAATGGGTGGTTTTTCTCTAGAAAGATTGGTCAGTTCTGGGTATAACCTAATGAACAAACCCCGGTCCTTCTCCAGAATCAAGTGCCTGCAATTCAAATGAAGAATACTCAACAAAAAAGTCAAAGTGAAAAACTTCTCTCCAATTTCTCTGGAAATATTCTGATATAACAAACATGTTGCCATTATTATATGAACAGATGGATCGAAAACGTGGTGATATAATACCAGTTCCACATGCCGATCTTGAAAGGATCAGACTTGCGGTAAGTACATGAAGCCAAGTTGTCGATTCTCCATTGGGCAAGACGAGAGGTTGTTTCAACCCTGTACGCTGAATCGCTCATCCTATCACAAAAAACAAGTGCAGCTATGGTTTCATGAATACAATCCAGCTTTCCCACGCTGTTCTTCTTCCTCCTCCGAGCTATTCACTCACAAAACACACTCTGTTTCTGTTCCTCACTCTGCTTCTCTTGTGGATCATTCTGTGTTCTGATCAAAACCCAGAAAAATAGTCAACGACATCCCATATGGGATTTGATAATGATTTTTTTTTCCGGCCTGAATATCTGGGATTTGATTAGGTAGAAGTTTCATCCAGTGATTTCGGATTGACTGGTGTGAAGGTTGAGAGAGATGGAGATGAAAATGAAGGAGTGATGTGGAAGGTTTGATTGGTTGGTGCGAAATGCCCAGGGAGGTTTGGATGGTACATGGTGATACTGAAATGAATGAGTTACTTGTATCACTTGGAGTTTGGGATTGGGATTGAGAAACGTCATCAATAACTTGTAGTAATATTTTATTATATGTCGACACTCGAACGTCATGCTTTCAAACTTGTCGTATTATATTGATTTTGATTGTGGCTTGTAAAAATAAATGATTTAATTTTTATAATTATAATTTAATTCTTAAATTTTAATTTATTATAATTTTATTTTCATAATTTTTACTCGGTTATAATTTAATACTTAAATTTTGATACTTATAACTCTAATTTTATAGTTTTAATCATTTAAATATTTATTTTTATACTTTAAAAAATAAAATTATAAAAATTAAAATTATTTTAAGATTTTACTCTTTATAATCTTTATAAATATTAAAAAGATTTAATAAGTTAAAATATTAGTTTTAAATTTTAAAACAGTTTTAATCTTTATAATTTTATTATTTTAAAATATAAAAAAATATTTAAATAATTAAAATTATAAAAATTAAATTATAAAAAACTGAGTTTCGATTAAGTTAAAATTATAAAAATTAAATTATAATATATTAAAATTTAAAAATTACATTATAGTGAAATTAAAATTTTAAGAATTAAATAATTAATTTTTTTAGTCAAAGATGATGGATTGATAATGATTCGCTGGTCAAAGAAAAAAATGAACAAAACGTTAATGATATGATTCTCGGAGGGTTCGAGTCGACGACGTATTGAAAATGGATTTGGATTAATTGATTTGATTGATGGTGTCGCAAGGCAAAGAGAATGTTAAATTGCTTTCGTGGTGAAGCAAGGCATTGCTTCTTTGGTAATTTATTCTAGCAACTTTCGTACACCTTGCCACCTTGGACGGTTAAAGTCACATTATTACTGTGCTGGAATTTGGCTAATTGTTTGCCTAAAAAGGGGAAAAAGTTTGTTGAAAATGTTAATCATATTATTAGTTTTTTAAAAAAATTGTTTTGTTAATTTAGGTCATCAATTTTTAATTTGTCGCATTCGTTATTTATTTTTTATTATCTATCGCATGCACAGATAAGTGCCATTGTTAATTTTTAAAAATACTTTATAAAGTAAATTTAAATGACAAAAATATTCTAAAACTTTTTCTTCAGGATGCTTGGCATTTTAATTTTTTTTTAAAAGTATTTTTACCTCATCGTTAAAAATGTCTAACCTTGACAGTTAATTAAAGTTTGGATTATAATTTTTTTGTTTTAATATTACAATGTTGTTATTCGAAAGTTTAACGGTTAGGAATTAGAATTTTCTCCCTTTGCTTAAGATAATGAGGCAATTTTTTGAGATATGTCATGTTTAGAAGTATAATAAGCATAAGGTATTTTGGTGTTTTATAAGAACAAGTAATAATTAATGAAGTTTTTTTTAATATTTTAATGAAAACTTAAAACTAATGAGATTTTTATATTTATTTATGATTAAATTATTTTATTAAATAAGGGTAAATATAAAAGAAAAGTGTAGTTTTTAATGATGCTGACTATTTTTTGGAGGTGAAAGTTAATTTAAAATGTCTTTTAAAGTTTGAATTGAAAGAGTAGAAGATTATTTTTTGTTGTATAATATACCAAGTTAAATTTGAATGTCAGATATCAATTTTAAATGATTGAGATTTTAATAGTAGAACAATGAGTAGAACATTCATAAACTGAGAGAATCAAGAACATTCATAAACTGAATTATAATAATAAGTTTTACCATAAAAAATTATCAAAATAAGCTGGTCATGGCTGCTGGTACTGTGATTGAACCAACTGTTTTAAAAAGTCTGCCTCACACTCGCTCACTCACATCAACAAAACAGTGTTTTAATTTAGGATTCAAATGTTGGGTTGAAATTGGTGAATTTGTGTGATTTTTTTAAGAAAGAAAAACAAGATTTTATATTTTATAAAAAATAATAGAATGATCAAAAATATGTTTTTACAAAAAAAGCAAACTACACATAAATTCAACAATTCCAACCAGACTTAAATTCTTTAATTTAACTTTAAGTTCCTTGCGAAAGAGGAGAGGCGGAAAGTGGAGAAACAACAAGAGACATTCAAATCAAACTCATCTTCTGCATCTTTGAACGGTAGATAGAAAGCAAAAATTTACATGTGATTTACCTTATGGCTCACCTCAATAGTTTTGTGTTTTTTTTTTCTTGCTGAAAAAAGAGTGTAAGGATGAAAAAAAACAACAACTAGCAATTAGAAATTATTTCCATGGATCTTCAATATAAGGACTATTTAAGAGTTTGGTTTTTTTTTTTAAAATATTCAGCCTCATGAATTTGGATTCAGTAACTATATTTAGCATAGGTATTGAGTGCTTGTATCACGTGAACCATTCAAATTCAAATTAATAATTTAGATAAACTCACTCATTCATTAATCTCAAGTGAATTATAAATTTATAATTATTAATCTAAATTTTAACTATTTAAATGATACTCCCTCTAGTCATATTTATAGGGCAGAGATAAAAGAAATTTTTTGATCTTATTTATAAGTTATATTATTAAATTTTCATCACAAACTTTCTCTTTTACCCTCCATTGAATGTTGAAGAGAGAAAATATATTATTGAAGTATGTATATTTATAGGGGCAAAGTTAAAAACTTATTAAATTTTAAGACAGAATTAGTGAGTTTTAAAATTTTTCTTAATATTGGTGAGACATATTAAAAGTGACTTATAAATAATATCAAAGAAACATAAGTACTCAATACCCAAACTAAATACAGTCACTGAATTCAAATCCAAGGCCTCATCGCCTCATGTCTCGCATATTAAATTTTTCTTTCTCATATTAGTTATTGGAATTTTTTATCTCCACATATTAAATTTTAATCATTAGATCACATAATTATTTTTAGAAAAGTTTCACAAATTCGTCACATATTAATTACAAATAATTAACTTATTTATTTTTATTTTTCAAATTTTTAAATTAGTTAAAAAATATTAAAAGAATTACATTGAAGTCCCACATAATAAAATTAATTACTGTAAAATTTATTAACAACTGAACTAAACTGCATTGACCATGGTCAATTGATCAATGCAGTTTAGTTTAGTTGTTAATGAACTTTATAGTAATTAATTTTTTTATGTGAAATTTAATTGTAATTCTCCCAAAAACATTTATATTTAGGACTGAGACAGCACTCTCTTCATTCAATATCATAAAATACTTTTAATCAAATTACATTTTTAATAAATTAGTTAATTATTTTTAAAATTAACTCTTAATTAAAAATTTTTATTGAAAAATAAAAAATATCTTATATTTTTTTTTTATCATTTTACACATGGTGTCACCACACCCATCACACCCCACATTATGAGCACAATCATATCTCTCGGACGGGCAGCTAGTAAAGAGCCAAGTTGGCTCATAAGTCATACCCAAGTTGTAAGCAAATCTGTGTACCTTTGACTGCTCCCACTTGTACACTTGCACAAGCTGCTTGGGCTTTTATTCTCATTTTTTATTTTAAAAAAATTATTTTAAAAAACAAAACAAAATAAAATTTTATTTGATTATATTAATTTGAACACAATTTCAAAGTTAAAAAATAGTCAATAGTGATATTCGTCAATAATCAATGGTGATGATATATGGTAATAATGGACCATAACTGAAAATAATTTAAAATAGTTAAATATAATGAGTTTTAAAATGAAAACTCTAGAAACAAAATAGGGAATGAAATTATTCTCTCAATTAAGCTCTTTCAACTTTGAATCCTAACTCTTTGTTGAATTCCCAATCTCTCTCATGAAGAAGAATAAGTGATGAAGTTTACTTGATAGGGCATGATTTGGAAGGACAAGAAGATGTTTGGCAGTGAGAATAATCTCATGCCAAAACCATTTGAAGTTTCCTTAGTAAATAATTCTTGACCATTTTTCCCCCTCAATATGCTTCAGAATAAAAAACCCAACTCACAATATTTTAATTTAAATCGTTTATAAGAAATAAAATTTATTAGTTTTTGTAATTTTTATGCCTTTATTTTTTTTTTAAAAAAATAAATCTAAACTGTTCACACGTGATGTGAAGAGTTCAATAGGCAATTTGTTTCCCGGAATTTCTTTTTTGAGAAAATAAAAATGAGTAGGAGTTTTGAGAGAATTTTAATAATTATTTTTATGATAAAAATTATGGATAATTTTGCTCTCAAACTATAGATCCATGAGCACTTAATATCTCCAACTCTTTTTTAATGCAATATTCACCTTCTACATTTAAAATAATGTAATGTTGTCTATATAGTTAATAAATATTAATTTTGACCGTTAATTGATAATAAAATTATAAAAAAATGAGTAAAAAATTATAGAAAATTATAAACAAGTATTTCATCCGTTTAAAAATATAAGGCATTTTTAATCGAATTTTATCCCAATAAAGTAGTTACCTACTTTTAAACTAACTATATCTTTTCATATTTATCCCTATTAAATACCCTATAATAAATATAAAATCATTCATCAATAAAATAACTTTTAAAAAAAGACAATGATTACATCTCGAAAGACTAAAAATATTTTATATTTTTTAACATTCAACTTTTTAAAAAATATCTTATATTTTTAAATGGAGGGAGTACTTGTTAAGGAGTGCACAAATAATTAGTAAAAGTAAACAGAAAAAATAGTTGAAAATTATGGAGAAGTTAGAGAAAAATAACAAAAGATAATACACGAAATTTAACGTGAAGAAACCCCCAATATAAGGGACAACAAATTTATGAGCAATGAGTGAATAATATTTCATTATAGAAAATGAGAATTATAATAATTGTCTTTATGTGGGGAGATGGAAAAACAACACACACGCACACACACACACACATAACTTCTTATCATCTAAAAATATTATCTTGAATAATAATAAATATCTCCTAAAATATCAAATAGAGATATAATAGAATTACATGAAGATAATATATAACAATAATCACAAAGGATTATAAAGATTTGAATTATAATTTTAACAAACTTCCCCTTAACTCAAATTTAGTAATGTTTGTAATTACCAAGTAGCCTCAAAAGGGCAATTAAATGCCACAGATGCCAACTAAATTCAAGTAATGCTTGAACTTAATATCAA